ATGTGGATTTCACAAGCTTCAAAATCTCCCCTCCCCCTACCGCATCCTAAAACCAGTCCAGCTCGTCCCTGCCTCCCTAACCTGTTCTTCCTCCCACCTATCCCCTCCTCCTACCTCAAGCCGCACCTCCATCTCCTACCGACCAACCTCATCCCGCCCCCTTGACCTGTCCGTCCTCCCTGGACTGACCTATCCCCTTCCTAACTCCCTACCTACACTCACCTTTACTGGCTCCATCCCCGCCTCTTCGACCTGTTTGTTTCCTCTCCACCTATCCTCTCCTCTATCCCTCTTCTATCCGCCTCCCACTCTCTCCCTATTATTTATTTCAAAACCCCCTTCCCCTCCCCCTTTTCTGATGAAGGGTCTAGGCCTGAAACGTCAGCCTCTCTGCTCCTATGATGCTGCTTGGCCTGCTGTGTTCATCCAGCCCTGCACCTTGCTGTCTCGGATTCTCCAGCATCTGCAGTTCCTACTATCTCTCTTCCAGGAATTCTCATGCTTTATTTTGCTTGTCCTAGTACTGTTATCTTGTCCCATTTAAACCGATGTCCTTCTCTGTCGGAGTGAATAGAAACGAGGGAGAATGGTTGTGCTGTTTTGCTGTGAGTTGGTGTTCATGTATCCTGGTACCAAGTTTCCTGCCCGTCTGTCCTATGTAGTGTTTCTTGTAATTGCTGCATGGTATTTTGTATATCACATTTGTCCTGTTCATTGTGGGTATGGGGTCTTTAATCTTTGTGAGTTGGCAAAGTGCGGTCGTTGGCCAAAGACAAAACCCACCATAACAGGCTGAAACATATAAATTCAGAACCGAACAGAACAACAGCGCTTTAACGGATGTTAGACAGCACTGAAGATATCACCGAGAAGGGGGATGAAACGTTGGCACAAAAACCAGTCAGCTCAGCGAACCAACCAACAACTCCAACGACAACTTGAGGTCCAGATCTTTGTTAAAATATTACTCATCAATTGTGTTACAGCCATTTGCGTTAACAAAATACATATAGCAGAAATATCTGTACACCAAATTCCCTCATTTCAGTGGCTATTTGATGATCTACCAAATGTTATGAATTTTAGCTTGAAACCAGCCTTGTACTTCATTTGTTTTTTTAGAAGAATCATTCCTCTTTGTTGTTCTGCTCTTTGTGGATACATCTTAAAATGCCACACATCTTTGTAACACAGCCTGTATCACCTCCTTGATCCCAGTTAAAAGATACTGGTGGGTAATGCATGTATTTGTGAAGTGAAAAATTAAAGCTTACTATTAATGAGTTGCAGCATGTCATGATTGAAACCTGGGGTCAACTTTTGGACCAGAAAAACACTTGCCTTTTCCATTGTGATGTTCAGTACATGAAAGAGTACATGTATTTCAAAGAAAGTGAGGAAAAAGGTCTGATACAGAGGCACAAGCAATGAGATGACATATGAAAAGGAAAATAGCAGTGGAGACAAATAGACAATTAGATAGAGCTATATTCAATTTTATCCAGGAACAAGATAGGGGAGATCAATTGGCACATGATCAGTCTTGTATGTAAAGAAAAGAACATTTCTTACCACATCTGCAGGAGGTAATTGTTGCTTCATACTTGTGCATCCGGAGCTGGATATCTGCTAGGTAAAGCCATGCTATAATTGCTGAATGTGCCTGCTTTAATCCTGTAATATAGTGACATTTCTCTCAAGTCTTGTAAAAGGTAGAATTTTCAGGCCAATCAACATATATTTAACATTATAAAACATCCTGATGCACTAGGACACCACCAGGTCACATGGGGATATTAGATCAAAGAAGTAGGTTTCAAGGAATGTTATGAAACATTAAAGTGAGGAAGGACTCTGGGAATAGCAATCCACAACTTAGTGCCTAGGAGAAACCCGATACCTCAGAGTTGTGGGGCCAGAGGAAATTACTGAGAAAGGGAAGAATTTGAAAACAAGAATTAGGATTGTAAATTCAAGATGCTGCTTGACTGGAGAGTGAAGGAAGGAAAGATTGAGAAGTTGCTGCAACTGTCAACTTACTGGAGAACATACCTCCACAAAGTCACAAAATTCCATATAGTTGACAAACAAAGTACTTTTCTCATACAACTCTATTTTAGTCTATTTTAATTTATAATTAACACCGCAAAATGTTTTGAAACTGGTTATTTGTTGACCATTTCAAAATGTGACTGCACCACATCCAAAACTGCACATATGCAACTGAAATTTATTTTGATTTGTTATAAATACATTTGATGAGCTATTTGAAGTGAACTTGTGGGTTGCTTAAAAGTGAACTCACTTAATGCTAAATAATGAAGTACATTTCCGCTTCCATGGTGTTAGAGGCAAGGTGCTAGCAGGGATAGAAGATTGGCTGTCTGGCAAAAAGCAGAAAGTGGAGATAAAAGGGTCTTTCTCAGGATGGCAGCCAGTGACAAGTGGTGTTCCACAAGAGTCAGTGTTGGGACCACAACTTTTCACTTTATACGTTAATGATCTAGATGAAGGAACTGTGGGCATTCTGGCTAAGTTTTCAGACGATATAAAGATAGGTGGAGGGACAGGTAGTATTGAGGAGGTGGGGAGGCTGCAGAAGGATTTGGGCAGGTTATTAGAGTGGGAAAAGAAGTGGCATATGGAGTACAACGTGAGAAAGTGGGACGTCATGCACTTTGGTAAGAAGAATAAAAGCATGGACTATTTTCTAAATGGGGAGAAAGTTCAGAAGTCTGAAGTGCAAAGAGACTTGGGAGTTCTAGTCCAGATTCTCTGAAGGCAAACTTACAGGTTGAGTCAGTAGTCAGGAAGGCAAATGCAACGTTGGCATTTATTGAGAGGACTTGAATATAAAAGCAGGGATGTACTACTAAGACTTGATAAGGCTCTGGTCAGGCCACATTTGGAGTATTGTGTGCAGTTTTGAGTCCCATATCTCAGGAAGGATGTACTGGCGCTGGAGCGGGTTCAGAGGAGGTTCACAAGAATGGAAAGCTTAACACTTGAGGAATGTTTGAGGACTCTGGGACTATACTCATTGGAGTTTAGAAGAATGAGGGGGGATCTAATTGAAACTTACAGAATACTGAATGGCCTGGACAAAATGGATGTTGGGAAGATGCTTCCATTGGTAGGAGAGACTAGGACCTGAGGGCATATCCTTAGAGTAAAGGGAAGACCTTTTAGAACAGAGAGAAGGAGAAATTTCTTCAGCCAGAGAGTGGTTGAATCTATGGAATCCACTGCCACAGAAGGCTGTGGAGGCCAGGTCATTCAGTACATTTAAGGCTGAGATAGATAGGTTCTTGATTATCAAGGGTTACGGGGAGAAAGTGGGAGAATGGGGTTGAGGAACTTATCAGCCATGATTGAATGGCGGAGCAGACTCGATGGGCCGAACGGCCTAATTTCTGCTCCTATGTCTTATGGTCTTAAATAGCATGAAGTTATCCTTACACTGCCCCAACAGTTGCTTTAACTCCAAGTAGTTTCATTTTTCACTTCATACAATGATCACTTTCATAAATGAACCAACCAATTGACTCTGCGTATGCACCCATGTTTCCATGCATGTGTCACGCTAAGACAGTTTTGTGCTTGGAACCAGTAACCATCAGAGGTTAGGTTGAAACTAGTCCAACTTATTTTAAAAGGATAATGCTTACAGCTAGCTGATCACATCTTTTCTGAACTTGGAATAATATGAACCCACAAACCAGTGTGAAAAATACAAAATATCCTGGCCTAAATAATCAGCAATAAAAACAGAAGATGCTGTAGAAACTCAGCAAGTCTGGTAGTATCTGCAGAGCAGGAAACAGAGGTAATATTTCAAGCGTAATATAACACTTTTGAGGAAGTCATCACAAGATTTCTAGCATTCAGAGTATTTTGCTTTTAGTCAACAAGCAATTGCAAATAGAAAAATCAAAATCAAAATGTTACATTTTGACTAAACATGCTTTTGAAAATCATGAAATAATGCAATCAGATTAATTTTCAGAGATTTGCTGAAACAGACACATTACAAATGGTATATTATAGTCTATTATTATAGACTTATCATAGAAGCACAATTCCAAATGAAACACTCAATAAACCTACCTTCAGTTAAGTTCTTTGCAGCTTCTTCATACTTCTTTTCTTGCATAGCTTTGATTCCAACTCCAATAAGACCTAGCCCATTTGTTGGTTCAATTGTATTAAGTCTTGAATAACATTGTAAAGCTTCGTCACTAAAGCATTCTGGTTAAAATTAGAAGATGGTTTAATACAATAACATAATCAATAAATTATGCACCACTACAAACTTGATAAAAAGATTATCTATCTGAATAAGAATGACACAATCTTTAAAATGTATCCTTCGCACACTGCAGACGTTTGCTACTAACACTATCAATAGCAAGCTTCTAAAGCATGTGAAAGACAATAGGACAGAGAACAAACATGCTTTGACAGTAACGTGTTAAGAAACAACCCAATTACAATAGTATCCCTGCAAAATAGCTAATAGAGAAACTGAAGTTTATCAGGAAGCACTTGAAATGTTCTATGCCAGTCAGTTTAAATATGTTGATTGAGAAGTTTTAAAGGTTAAAGGTTAATTTAGACTGAAATATTCTTTGTTAACCTGCACCAAAGCCCCTCCAGTTAAGATAAATTCTTTAAGACTCAGTTCTAGATCAATAAATTGCTTTCTTATTCAAAGAATTTTCCCTTTCGAAAATTGAGCATGTTATTTTTATCAAGATAAAAAGTGCCAGTGTTTGGAAGTTGTGCTCTTTCCTGCAGCGTGTGCGCAAATGTCAACATTACATACAAATTAAACTAGCACTGTCCAAAGAAACAATCCTCTTGGTTTTATTTCAATAATGGTCCTTAACTCTAGCATCAAGATAGTGCCTTTTAACGTAAGAGTATAAATTTCTTCAGTACTCAGACAATTAAATCTTTATTAATTCACTGAGAGGCTGACAATTTGTGCAAAATTATGGATACTTTACTGCTTCGGGATACCTGAACCACTGCGTGTCTATACTCCAAAAAGTTATTATTTTAAAATCACAAAAATAACTACCTTTCTGGATAAAATGCATGGCAAGTACTTCAAGTGAAGATGATGAATTAGGATATTGGGTTATCAAAGTTTCACATGCTAGTTTTAGCTTATTTTCTTCATGTGGCAGCTGAAAGAAAGAATTTTTAATGAAGTTATGTAAATACATTTTTTTTTAAACTATGAAGGCTCTGATTTTAAGCAAACTTAACAAAAGTAGAAGTAAAATAAGACATTTCATAAATCATGGATTGTGTTATAACTGAAGCTGGAGAAGTACATCATCGCTGGAATGCCAATACACCATGGTTGTAACACAAAATAAAAATACAAATACATTGTCTAGTATCTAAAATGACCAAATATATATATGCCTTATCTATTTCAGGTTTTAAAAAAAAAAAAATCTATCAAATAGGTTCCTAAGAAATATAATTATTGATTCATTATCAAAACAAAATATATTCAATTAAAATGCATTAATTGCTTAACGCACTTCTGTATTACCAACTATATATTAGCTTATCCATCCAAATATTCCATGAACACATTCACAAATGAAGCACTGAGGATGGCGAAGAAATAGATGTACTCTGGGTGGAAGATGCTGCTTTCCATCACAATGTTAGCATCAACGTTAACAGCAATGTTAACCAAGTTGGCTGAGTCCCAAAGGTCATGGCTCTGGATTAGGTCTGTGGCATGTCGTAAGGAAACCATCAAGTGGATAAAATTTATTTACCTGTTGAAAATGCAAATAGAATCAGAGGGAGTACCATATAGTACTTGTGGAGCCAAAGTCTGACTTCGCGTCGAAGATACTTCCGCCATGTTTGAACCATTACCACTGTCCGAAATGAGACAGACATGGAACGGATCTAGCAACTCAAAACTGAGCATCAACGAGGCACTGGGGGTCATTAACAGCAGAAACAAATTTAACCACACCCAGAGTTCTCATGGCCTGGAATATCCCCCGCTCTACCAGGACTATCAAGCTAGGAAATCAACAGTGGTTCAATGAAGACTGCAGAAGAGCATGCCAGAAGCAGTAACAGACATACCTAAAAATGAGATGTCAACCTGGTGAAGATGCAGCATAGGACTATTCGCATGCCAAACAGTAGAAGGAAGAAGCGATAAACAGGGTAAAGTGATCCCACAAACAGCAGATTAGATCTAAACTCTACAGTTCTGCCACATCCATTCACGAATGGCATTGGACAATTAAAACAACGAACAGGAGATGGAAGCGACACAAACATCCCCATTCTCAATGACATGGGGTGGCCAGCACATCAGTGCATAAAACAAGGCTGAAGTATTTGCATCCGTTGTTAGCCAGTTGTGCCAAATAAATGATCAGTTTCAGCCTCTATCTGAAGATTCCAGCAGCGCAAATGCTAGATGTCAACCAAATCAATTTCACTCCACATGATATCAGAAATGCTTGTAGACATTTGATACTGCAAAGGCTATATGCCCTTACAATACTCCAACAGTAGTACTAAAGACTGGCCCTCTAGTAGTTGCCATACCCTATCAAAGCTGTTTCAGAACAGATACAATGGAGGCATTTATCTCAATATGGAAAACTGTCAGGCATATTATGCATACAAAAAGCAAAACAGATACAACCTAGCCAACTACTACTTAGGAGTCTACTGTTGATCATTAACAAAGTGATGGAAGGGGTCTTGGATAATGCCATCAAGTTGTAATAGCAAAGGAACTATATGCGCACTGTCGCTCAGTTTGGGCTCCATCAAGATCACTTGGCTCCTGACCTCATTACAGCGTTGGTTCATTATGGACAAAAAGGCTGACTCCAGAGTTGAGATACGACTGACTGTCTTTAAACATAAAAGCAGCACTTGACAGAGAAGGACATCAAGAAGCCGTAGCAAAATTAGGTTAATGGCAATTAGGGTGGAAATGCTCTCTTGGTTGAGGTCATACCTGATACAAAGGAAGACAGTAGTAGTTGTGGGTCAATCATCTCACACCCAGGACATCACTGCACAAGTTCCTCAGGATGATGTCGTCCTAGTACCAACCATTTTCAGCTGCTTCATCGATGACCTTCTCTTCATAAGGTCATAAGTAGAATGTTCACTTATGACTGTATAACGATCAGCACTATTTAGGACAACTTCAGTATCTCAGGAGTCAATGTCTACATGCAGCAAGATCTAGACAACATTTAGACTTGGGCTGATAAGTGGCAAGTAACTGTCTCTCCACACAAGTCCCAGGCAATGACCATCTCCAACTAGAGAGAATCTAACTATCACCCCTGGGTATTCAATAACAGTACCACCGCTGAATCTCCAACTGCCAACATCCTGGGGGTTACCATGGAGTGAAAGTGAACTGGATCAGCCACATAAATACTGTGGCTAAAAGAGCACATCAGTTTCTCGTAATACTGCAGTAAGTAACTCCCCTCCTGACTCCCCAAAATTTGTCCACCATCTACAAAGTAAAAGGTTGGAGAGTGCAATGGAACACACTCTACTTGCCTGAATTGGTGCAGCTCCAACAACACTCAAAAAGGTTCAACTTCACTCAAGACAAGCACCCTGATTGAATGGCAATCCATCCACCAACTTCAAGCTTCACTGCCATCATCACCGTTGCACAGTGGCAGTAGTGTGTACCATCTATATAATGAACTGCAGTAACACGCAAAGCTTCCTCCAATAGCACCATGGTCAGCAGATGCATGGGAACATCACAAATTGCAAGTTTCCCTCTAAGCCACACACTACCCTGACCTGGAACTACATTAGTGGGTCAAACTCCTGAAACTCCCAAAATTCTGGAACTGGCTGCAATACAACCAAATGAAGATACTGTGGTTGTTTAAGACCGTTCATTCCTTTTGCTGTTGTAGCTCCTAGACCCAACACCACCAGCTCCCTCATCAAGGCCTTCTATCCAATATAACATCACGAGTGGGTATTTTCACCCATGATTATACATTGTTCAGCACCATTCCTAACTCCTCAAATACTAAAGCAGTCAGTGGTCACTTGCAGAAGGTCCTGTTTAACATTTAACTAGAGGTCATTAAATGAGAAGTTTACACACAAGCACCAGGCAAGGTCCATCCCTTCGAAAACAAGTGTTCAACCACCTTTCCCCTGCCATTGAATGGGCGTACCAACATCTAATTCTCCATCAAGCAGATCCTGGGGTTAGCAATGCTTGTTTGAGAAGGGATAGAATTGTGAAAGAAGCAGTTTAGAGAAAATTAATTCAACCCACTCCTGGGATGAAAGGCTCTCTATTTGAAGAAAGGTTGAACAGGTTGTGTTTATTAGAGTCGATAAAATTGAGAAGTGATCTTATTAAAAGATAAAACAAAAGAAATTGTGGGGACTTGGTAATTGCAGGGATACCAAGAGGATATGGGGAGTGGTAGAGTCATGAAAATGGAATTGCAAATACTATCAAATCAATCGTGATCTTATTAGGTGGTGGAGCAAGTTTTGAGGACCAACTGGCCTACTCCTGCTCCTAATAAAATGGTCTAGTCACATAAGTAGTGTGCTACCACACCTTGTAATAGGTCAAAGTATTCATCAACTTTGATAGCATCCATGACAAAGCAGCCCACTTGAACTGCACAACATCCACCAGCTTAAACACTTGTTTCTTCCAATGGTCCAAAACACAATGTTGTGTATCATTTATTGTATTACAGCCCAAAACAACAGTAGTGTGTACACTGCAGCAATGTGTCAATGTGCTTCTGACTGCACCTGCCAAATTCAATTTATGCCAGCCAGGAACACACAGGTAGCAAATGCAACCATCACATGTTTAATTCTTCTCCAAGTCCCAAAGCATCCAGAGTTGGAAAACAGCACATTCCTTCACCATCGCGGAGTCAAAATGTAGGAATTTTCTAACAGTACCATGGGACGACCTTTACCATGAAGACTTCAGCAGTTCAAGAACACAGATCGTCACCACCTTCTCAATGACAGTTAGAGACGGACAATACATCCTGGCCTCGCCACAAGTGATCACAGCTTGTGAACAAGTGAAAAAAGGCTTACTTTTGATAGAAATTTAACATAATCGGTGGAAAGCTTCTGATGGCTATCACTTGGAATCTTGTCCATGGAAGAAAGGACATTTTCAAAAGCTGTTATCAACTACACAAAGAACAGAGAATTAGTGGTACATTAGAATTTTAAAAATCATTACATTTATATAACATCTTTCATAATCTCAGATGTCCCAAAGGACTACATAACAAAGTATGCAATATAATCACTCTTATAATGTAGCCAAAAACAGTAATCAAATTTATCTTAGCAAAGTTCCAAAAACAATTAAACAACTTAATCTATTTAACAATGTTGAATGAAAGTTATTTGTTGCTGAAGACAATGGGAAACTGCCTAGCTCAAATTCAAAGTGATCGTTTTCATCCTTGTAAGATGATGAGTGGTATTTCGGTTTGAAGTTTCATTCCAAAGATGCTCCAACAATACAGTACTCCCCAGGCACTGCAACATGTTAGTCAAGTTTATATGCTCAAATTCTAGAGTGGAGTTTGAATCCAAGAACAGTCTTCTGACTTGGAACCATGATTACTACCACCAAGTCAAACTGAAAAGATACTTGCAACTAACAAAATTTAACAGTAATAATTATCTTAATCTGTAGTTTTTATTTAGGACCTTCAATTCTATAAATTATTTTTATCAACTTTATGTTCCAAGACCAAAAGAAGATTTATTTCAATCATCCTAAGACATGTGTTTCATCCCCATCTAAAAACCATCTTTCTACCCTGCACAATTTATGACATTTGCTGGTTTAAAGTGAAAACCTCTCACAGCAACTATAAAATGGATTTTTGCTGTCATTGTAATAAGTCATAGAAGTTTTACCTCTGACTCAGTACAACGTCAAAAACACATCAGTTTCAGCTGAGGGTGAAAAATATATTGACATAATCCTTGAAAGTCAATCACAAACATTCGATCACATGACATCTGTCTGCAGTTTGCAAATATTAATTCCTTACAGCCTCACAGCTTTTTTGCCACCTACACAAGGACGTGGCACATACAATCCAAGCTTTACAAATTATAAATTTATCTTTGTTTGCTATGTCAAAACCCATATGAATTACAGCTAAGAGGAATTACTTAGGATATCATAGCGAAGGCAATAATATTGTTTTCAAAGTCAGAAATATCATGGTCAGTTAATCAAATTGTAGCTATTTCAATGCTGTACTTAATTGGTTTGAGAGACATTTGAAAGATCAAAAGCAATATTTAAGGCAAGTGCTGATGACTAAATTTATTTTGATAAGGTGCTTTTGCCCATTTAAGCCATTAACAATATCTTCAACAAAATATTTATTTCATTTTTCTACACTAAATTTATATGCTCCTTTAGTTTTGAAATTCTTTACTGAAATGCAGCATTTTGCTTTCATCTGTAAGATCATACAGTGGATTTTTGGATATGTACGGTTCCAACTAACTATGTATTTCAGTCAACACAGTGGCTGTTGAATGAAGAAAACAGCTTGTTGAATTAACCAGCCTCTTCACTGGCTGAATGCTATTTTCTTCAGGCTTGAGGACATATTCTAGTTCAAGGCACATGTTGGTAGCTACATCCATAATTATACTCCAGAACTGAGAGAGATTCTATTAAGTTTGAGGCTGTGAATAAACTCACTGAACAAGGGAATTAACAAACAAAACTAATTGTTACTGAGAGTGCACTGGTCCACCATTCAAGCATATCCCTGGTCTCAGAAGTGTAAGTACACAGGAAAAGGAAAAGGAAAAGGTAAATATTTTTCTCTGGTTTTTCAGACTGGGAAACAAACCATCCCATTGTCAGAAGACTCCTTTCACAGTTTTTGTCACTGCACAAAATGGTTAGTAGTTCCATTCTAAAAACATCAACCACAACTTTCAATCCTGTACCGGCAAACAGCTGAGTTAAACTTTTTTCCCCATATATTAAATTATGCATTTCATCCCTTCAAAGGGAAATTAAATTGAACACAACAGTTTTGTGTGGTATATTAATCATTTGTAAACTTATGAAATTGAATTACTTATAACAGAAATCATATTAATATGCATGAAAAGTTTTTACCAGCTGTTGGGTTTCATTATCCTGACTCTCTACTTTGTCTGCAAGTAACTGGATCATCTTCCTCCACATCTGATGAAGCTCTTGTTTACTAGCTCCATCAATTTGTTTTAGCTGTATCAATCGACTCCATGTTTTGGCAACCTACAACAGATGTGTTATCAGTGATGAGGGAAACACAGTTCAAAACAGAGTTTGAGGAATTAGAGCAAATACACTAAGATTAAAGAGTAATGATGATAAATGGAGAGTAAGCAGGAGAGTAGGATTGGAATAGATGGCTCAAGTTGTAAAGCATCAGTGAAAATGGAAAGGGGCAAGTCATAATTCTAGGTGAAATATTTTCTTAACAATAGCATTGCAAACTATAATCATCTTGGAAGACATGCAGGTTCCTAAACTAAACTTGGACCACTGGCTACTCATTTACACATTCTCCAGAAATTTTACCTTCAGAAAGCAAAATAGTATAATCAATAATTGCTTAGGGGCTAATAAGAGAATTTTAATAATCAATTCATTCTCATTTGAAAATTGCTACCTAGTGTTGAATTATGTTCATATGCCTTAAATAATAACAAAACTAAATCTGAGTAGCTGCCTTTAATCTTAAGATGGCACTCAAATGGGAATGGCATCAAGGTGCCTCAGAAAACAGTGAAGTAATTCAGTATTACCCTTCTCTCCTCTTCACTTGGTCTGAAATGCGCTTTCTTTTACCTCAAGTTCATGTTTTATACAGTTCAGCATCTTTTTAATTTCATTTCTTTATCATTCTCAAGCTTCTTTAACTGCAACTGACTTCTTGCTCGCTCAATTGACTCACCACTTAGTGTAGCCCCTACTCTTGTATTTCCACAAACTCCAAATGCTGAACTAATATGTCAACCATTGCCAACGCCTTAGCTTTTTGCAGGCATCTCCATGTTAACTCATTTGCAAATTCTATTAGTTTGGCTTCAGTTAAATCTTGTAAACCAATCAGAGTTAATTCCTCCATCTGCAAGAAAGTTTTAGCTACTTCCAATGCCAGTTTTGTTTTTTTTTAAAAATGAGAAATCCAGTCCTTTTATCTTTTACCAATTACTACTACAGTTACCTGTTGTGTGTCCAAGTATCCAGCTCTGACCCCCATCCATATGGTGACTGTGAGGAATGTGCTCAAGTCCCACCACCCCACCCCATCAGTTGCACCAGGTAAAATGTTTTCATACAATCACCAAAATGACCAACAAAAGACAGGCTCACTAGACTTTAGTTAATGTAAAATAATCTACTTAATACAACACAAAGCCTATTCTTAAAACAAATAGCAAACACTGGTGAATATCTAAACTCTAGATCAGAATTAGAACTATATTCCCTTAATCCCAAACAGACACATTTATGTAACACAAACGACAACCGATTCTATAGCAATGATATTTTTTGAAATCAAAAAAGGCAAAAGAAAATAAATATCTGTGCCGGCCATGGTTCTGAAGAAAAAGGATAGAATTTCATGAATTCTCATGGCCCAAAGTTTCCCACTGACAAACTGAATTGCTAACAGACAAGTCAGATGGAAAACCTTCAGTTCAGGTTGAAATCAAGTTGGACCAGAGAGTCTTTAGAAAGTGGTTACAGTTCAGCTTTTCAGGATTTAAAATGGTCAGAAATCCTGATGTTTGGAAACTTTATAAGGTTTTTACTTTTACTGACAGCGGGAGGGAGGGAAGGATGTCAGACAGAGCATGGGTGAGACAGAGAGGGGGAGACAGTTACTACTCCTGGATTTTCTTATTTACTGACCAACTACGTCTGTGAAACAGAAATAAGAGTCCAGAAAGAGTTGCCAAGGGATGATTCTAAGAGAGTCCCCTTGTAATCTTTTCCAAGGCTAGGTTTTCCAGCAATTAAAAGGTCATAAATACCATCTCTTAACTCCCTAAAAGCATTCTTTGACTTTTTCTTTAAAGTCATTTGACTTTGTGTAAATTGCAAGCTGATCATGGCACATATTAAACTGATGAATTCATTTTCCAAAAAAAGGTAACAATTGTTTTCAATCCAGGAAATTCCCAAACAGTTACATCTTTTCTGCTTTTTAAGATACCTATATTAATGGACTATATATGTCCAACAATATCTAAATTCACTCACCTCTAGATAATTCTTTTCTTGATGGTAGAGATCAACTAACTTTAAGCAGACTTCATGCCATTTCTGTTTGTCCGAACTACAGAATGAGAAAAAAAAATTTGAAATTTTATGTTTGTGGTAACAAATAATTGATGGAGCATCTGAAAATAAATAATGCCAGCACGTGGATTTGGTTTGAGAATGGAAAAGGAGATAAATTATGCTTTGGTAGTACAGAACTACAGGGCTGTTACCAAAACAAAACAGACTTGGTGTCAAAGCTTTTTGACTTGAACTCATTAGGACAGAATCAAAACACCAAATTTCAAAGGTACAACAAATTTTATTGCATGAAAGGTGCTAATTGGTTGGGAAGTCAATTTTGGCCTGGTTGTTGCCATGAAGACTGCACCAGGAAATAGTTAACAGTCAAACTTTTGATGAAGTTCAAACCTGACAAGCTGACTTGGGTTGGTCTAGATCTGCCATGGAGAATGCACCCGAGAATCGTTGCACACTCAGTGTTGGTTTTGTTGAAAAGTGTACAATGTGTGGACATGTGCTTTCTGTTTCCAAGGGAGGAGGCCCTGTGTGTGAATATATGTAACATCTAACACGCACAAGTGAGCCACATTGTGAGCCTGACTGATGATACTAAACTGGTTGATAGTGTAATTTTTAGCACAATCTGGATTGTTTTGTGGAGTGTTGGTCAATCATAAAATCACATCTGAAATTGGACACCGAGTTGTGCAAACCCAGGCTGTTTCAGTTTAGTCAATTCTCTGCTTGTTACAAAACAGTGACATGCTAGTTAATACAACCTTTGGGATGTACGGAATATACGTATGTGGCATCACACTGGCAGTGAAAGTCATAAGCCTCAATATTTACTTGTGTGATAAAGAAAATGTCTTTCTTGACCTGACAGCAGCATGGTGTTACTGAAGAATATTACTTGTTTTGTTGGGCTTGGTAACAACAGAATTATGCATTTGAAAACTGAATGATCTTCTATGTAAATAGTTATGATAAAACTATCTTTATAAATCATTAGTCTGGCCACAGACCTCTACGATAACAAGGTAAGCCCTCTAAGTAGGTGATAAATATCACACAAATTTACATAATGAAAGCAAGTTGCCATATCTATCAGTTTGTTTCTACAATCTCTGAAGCAATTTCACCTTGTCACCATTGTGCCATTATACAAGTTGTCCTAGAATTTCTAGAGGCAATTTGCTTATTTGTAGGAGCAACACAGGAATTTAGTAGGGCGTATCACAGCACTGGCTAGAAGATAAACTTGTAATACCTCATTTTTATTCCAAAAATCAGTCAGTTCTAGTTCACAAAATCATGTTTGTGACTTGCCATTTTGGCTAATACTATTCCCAACGTTGACAGATGGTCTATGTAGGTCATTAACGCCTGAAATTCCAAACTAGCCTGGCCACTTGCTGTATACAAGTAACCATATATTAAGGCACCATTACATTCACAGCCAAATATAGATCTTTCCCTTTTGGGGACAGCCAACATTTGGATAGTAGTTGCAAGTGTAACTTTAGAACAATCATATACCTATAGCAAGTTTCTTCCAGTTAGTGAATTACTGCGTAATGTTAAAAGGGAAACCTGAAACTATAGTAATATTATTTCTTTTGGATGTGATTCTGCGGAAATTGGCAAGTTCTTTTAAAAAATTGGGAGCAACAGTCAAGTAATCTCAATTTATTCTGCAGAACAAGAAGTGAATTAAAGAGTGGTAAGAACAATAAATTAAAATAGATTGTTGAATGAAGCTGTATATTTGAATTCAATATTTAAGTAACATTCCTCTGAACATACATTCTGTCTTTTTTCAGGAGCAGAAAGACAAAGGAACAAACAAAAGCAAAAGCTCCAAAGCAAAGGTAACAAGGTGTAGAGCTGGATGAACACAGCAGGCCAAGCAGCATCATAGGAGCAGGAAGGCTGACGTTTCGGGCCTAGACCCTTCATCAGAAAAATGTTCCTACAGCTCCAAAGCAAACTTGGATAGACAAACTCATCATCATACAAACACAAGTTCAATTGATTCAAACAGGCTACCTTTCATACAATTTCATTAGCTTCTGATAAATTCCCAACAGCTCATGCTTGTTGTCAGATGTATTGCTCTTCTCACAAAGATTTAGCAACCCCTGAAAAGAAAACAAGTCATTATATTCTAGTTCCTCCTCACACTGCTTGCACAAAGACAAATTATTAGAATTTATAGAAGAAAATTTATGTATTTTTGCTCCTAAATTTTACAATCACTGTTTTTTGAAGAGTTGAGTGGGGTGGGTGGGGTAGACAAGATTTTCTACACGATGCTCAGCTGAACCATACTTTACACTACTTTAACATCTTATTCAACTCTAGCTGAGAATTCAACACTATAACATGTCCATCACAAAGACAATCTACTTGCATCACTGCAACATTGTAAGTCTTACTGCATATTGTTTAAACCTCTATCCATGTCGTTAGCATGTGAACTTGTCATTTGACTTAACAATCACAATGTTCACTTGCTGAAGCATTCAGCCCCCGTACAACACAACTACTCCAAAAAGATTGCTACTTTTATCCTATCTTGCACCAAGTTCCACTCACCCAATATGCCCGGTTTTAAAAACCAAAAGAACTGCAGATGCTGTAAATCAGGAACAAAAACAAAGTTGCTGGAAAAGCTCAGCAGGTCTGGCAGCA